ATTAATTAATAATATATCAATATTATTTGTTCAAACCTAATTACGAAACATGATTTTTCGCCAAGTAGGATTCCGAAGCACCAGAAGCAGCCACGTAGGCTCAGCGCATTCGGTAATTATATATAGCAGGGATATAACTTCAGTTGGAATAAATTTTTCATTGAAATTTTAGATGGAATTTGATGATTTCAATTGCTATTTTTCCAATGGTTTTTAACATGGGAATTTCCGTTGGAATATGCAATTTTGATTGAAATTTTTATTTCCACCCCTACTGGAAAATCTACCGTTGAAATCGTCAAAATCCAACAGAAATTCTAATGGAAATATCAGTCCAACGAAATATTTTTGTTGGAATTTCCGTTAGAATCTATTGAATAATTGCAACGGAAATAATAACATTGAAATATTCGTTGGAATTCCAGAAATATATTTTATTTGAAATTTCCCATTGAAATTGCACCATTTTTTGTAGTGTCTATTGAAAAAATATAGCTATGTAACATTTTATGTGAAAACTCTAGTTTTAATTGGCTTAAGAAATTATTTGTTGGTAGAATTCAATAGTATGCATATAATATTTTGGTTGCATATATCATTGAGGTTTTGGTAGGATTGAAATATTTTGGTTTCTTTCTCTTTTACTTATTTTGGAAGAAATATATATAATTAATAAACAAGGAAACTGGGTGATATCTTTGTGGTGCATGATTTTGAGTAAAAAATATTAGTTCTAGTTTTGGTAAATGCTCATTTTATATGATCTATTAAACATGCTAAAATTCCCTCAAACCTCAATTGTCTATTGAATACCTCACCATATTAATTGTATATTTGTTGGGAAGAAATTTGTAAAGTTTATTTTGTTCCATTTTATTTTATACATGAATTAATTACTAATCTTTAGTAGTATCAATATGATACTTGTCTAATAAGTTTTAGAATTAATTATTTCTGTAAAAAAAAAGTATTTATTTGATTTATCGAATTATTGTGAGGCCCACAATATATGCATTTCCGGTGTGAATAGAGTAACGGAAATAAATAAAAATAAGAGGAAAATGAATTACCAAAATAATAATAATAATAATAATAATAATAATAATAATAATAATAATAATAATAATAATAATATGGACTGGACAATATGGAACGATGTAGAAGCACTTATTGGAAGATTGATACAAATGCGAATTGTTTGTGTCGGGTTTCCACATAGTGATACATCTAAACATCAACACTATTTTTATTCGTGACGCAATAAGTGGGTCACAAGAATAAAACAAAAAAGAAAAATTAAAAAAGGAAAAGGTCACAATGTGATTGTGACCTCGGGTGCGATATATTCGAAAAAAATGAGATATTTGTCTCATTTTTATTGGACAAGTGTATTTTTTTTATTTTATTAAAAAATACGAAAACTCATATTTTTTATTATTTATAAATAGAGACCACGCTTGATATATTTTCCAACATAATTGTATTTTCTAAATAAATAAAAATAAAATAAATATTTAGCTTGAGTTGAATTGGAGACAAAGATATATTAAGTTGAAAGATTGAGATGTTTATGTAGAGGAGAGATAAATAATAATTAGGTTGGGTTGAGTTGGATTGAGAATAAGGATGGTCTAAATTTTGACTGTGGGTCGAATGTCAGTTCGTAACTAATGGAGGCCAAAGATATTTTATTCGATTTTATCTAATCAGATATTTTTTTCTCTTTTTTGTTCAAAATTTATTTCATTTTTAATACAACTAAACATTCTTATTTTTCGTCAATATTATTAAATAATATCATTAAATAATCCTCACATATCAAATCAACAAAATTAATTATTCATTTACTCATATATTTTTAGATACTCGTCACAAAAAAAAACCCAAATTAGTTCATAAAATTTTATATTCCGTGATACGACTTTAAACTATTTATCACGCTACTCAATATAAGTGTGCACTATTTACAATGATCATTGATATAAGTCTAAACTATTAGAAATTTCAAATCTTTATGATACTTGATATATGCTCTTAAAATATCTAGAATTATGCTCTTTGATACTAGTCTAAGTATCTCCAATGCTCCTTGATTAAAGTTTAAACTATTTATAAAACTCCTCGATATTAAAAAAAAAAAATAAAAAAAAAACTATCCAAATCCAAAATCATCATTTTTCTTGATACAAGTCTAAACGGTCTACAAATTCGAACAACGACGCTAACATAAAATGTTTACAACAGCAAGATCTCACAAACATGAGATTAAAATGTACAAAAGGCAAATGAAGATCTTATTTGACATGAGTAAAATGTCTACAAGTCTTTTAGACACGAGATTAAAAGTTCCACAAATTAAATGAAGATTTCCTTGACACGAGAGTAAAAAGGTTCATAAATGAGAAATGAAGACTTATTGACACGAGCATAAAAATGTTTACAAAATTAAGATCTCCATGACACGAGCATAATATGTTTACAAATTTGAAAGCTTCTTGACGTGAGAATAAAATGATTACAAATTTGAAGGATTTTTTACACGAGCATAAAAGCTCCATGAATCAAATGAATAACTCTTTTTTACACGAGTACAAATTGTCTTCAGTGGAATCAAATCAAGACTTCTTGATACAAGTATAAACTATTAGCCAAATCAATTCAAGACATGTTGATATGAGCTGAAACTATCTACAAATCTAAGTTCAAGACCATATAATTGAAGTCTCAAGTTTAGAAGTTCTCAAGAACTTTCTTAATGATCAAAAGGCGTTCTTGAAGCTTTGGTGGTGTACTTGAAGACAAGAGCATTCAAGTCGAAGAGTGATGATCGATCCGAAATCTAATCTCTGAGTTGCCAAAGTATGTTTAATGGAGAAGAATATGTTTAATGGAAAAGAATGCCAAAAATAGAAGAGGAGTGGTGGTTCTTCTCCACGAAATAAAGAGACAGCATCCACTCCTCTCAATTTAGTCCAAGAACCTCAACAACGTTCAAGTGTGACATTCAAACAATGTTCGTCGAGAAATTCAACCAACACAACGTATAGTCAGGAAAAAACTATCAAACCTTCAAGTCAACGGTATTCAAATAAAAAACGTCCACCTTCTAGAATGACCGAAGAAGTAAGTCTTCTAAGAATTTATCTCCAATCGAATCAAATCCAAACTGCTTAATTCCAGATCAAGGCATCTATATCTATATAATGGACCAATCCTTATTGCCATGATTGACATGATTTTAGGCGGAAAATTTTTTCGTCTATATTTGGCACTTAATTAATATTTATTTATTAGCAAATTTTAGGCATGAATAACATTATTAGTTTTTATACACTCAATTATTGTTACTCATTAACTACAATGACTTAAATTGAAATTTTGACAGTAGATTTAATATATACATTTTCAATAAGATCTTATATTAATTTAATAGTTATTATTGACACAATTCAAAAAATTATTATGAAACTTGATTTGATTAAATATATTATCATTTATTGTTGTAGGTATTAATCTAATTGATTATATTCATATTCATATGTACTTAAAATATTAATAAAATAATCAAAATAACTCTGTTTAAATCATAATAACGTAATAAATTATTCAAAATATTAATAAAATTTTCTAAATTTAGTCAATTTAACAAAAAAAAGGCACATCCCCATTGAATATATCATATGCATTGATAATACTATTGAAAATTTAAATAATATACTTATAAAAATAAAATTTGATGGTCGAGTGCAATTAAAAATTATAAATTTCACCTTAGAAGTATCTAGGTACATTAAAAGCTATTTAATTTTTAAAAATATATATTTTTTTCTTATATACTATTTTATAAAAGAAAAATAAGTTAATAAAAAAGCAATGTATAATAATTCAAATTATGACATTTGATAATTATATAAATATATAATATATCTAAATATTTAGACAAATACTATGTAACTCACTATATATGTTGAAAAAATGAATTAAAGAAATAAATATAAATAAAAAATGAAAACATAAAATAAAATATTTAACCATAAAAAATTTAAGTGTTGCATAAGGATTAAAGTTATTAAAAATTAAAATTTATTTATCAAGGTTTTAACATTTAATGCACTTAATAATTATAGCGGAAGATAAATATTATGAGTTAAATGTTGGTCAATTATCAAACAATGTGCAACATATGAATTGTTAAAAAAATTATAAGACTATGATAAACGACAATTTTATAAGTACATACAAGTAATTTGTATGTAAATATAATATGATCTTATACATTTACAATATTTTATATAAGTAATAAAATTTATATATTAAATAGTAAAAAACTACCAAAAAAATATATAAAAATAAAAATCAACAATAATAGTAAATGAATAAATTTTATATTACTACTGATTAGAATATTGTAGAAAATATAATTTTATATTGTCTGAAATAATTTTATATTATTTAAATAAAAAATATTTTTTGTATTGCACCCCGTGCATCGCACGGGTATCAACACTAGTTCGAGCCTCATATTAACTTAGGCAAATTCAAGCACAAAAATGAAGAAGGTCCAGTTGAACCAATTTCAAAGATCCAAATCCAAGTAAAAAAAAAAAAAAGAGAGAATAATCAGAAGAGACATATAGAGATCGAATCTACAACAGATCGTCCGATCGGAATATATTTAACTTGTGCAATTATTTTATATTTTTCATAAACTTTATTGTTACAAGTAAGTTCATCAATAAAAGAAATCCCCACAGGACATATGGTTTTCTTTCCTTGACGTGAAAATTTGAAATTTGGAAAATGAAATTAGTTCAAGTATTCGCTTCAAATCGATCCATATTAGCTAGGTCCATTAAACTCCTCAAATTTTGAAAGCGTTCATAAATATATCATCACTCGAAAACAAATAAAAAAAAAAAATCAAAATTGCATAATAATGTAACTATTACTCCATTAATTAAGGAAAGAGAAAAACAAAGTCACACAGTTACACCTTAAAATTAAATAGGTACACTCTTTTCGAAGCTAATAAGGACCTTCAACTGTTGCCACGGCTTGTAATAAACACGAGCAAGATAATTCCCGGGACCGTCACTGCCGTCAAAGGCGGATATCACGAGCCGATACATTTGGCCGCCAAAATCCTGCACCGTGCCATTAATTACGCTTTGAAATTTCAAATTAGCTTTGGCCAACCTATTGTGTTCGACCACCGCAAAAACAGCAGCCTTAACCACATTAGGGTCGCGCGGGTCACTTATTGGCCGTGCGCCGCCGACTCGTAGTGATTTTTGGTCACTTATCGGCTGCGCGCGGGCCGGGGAATCGACATCTGACTGTGGGGTGTGCGCAGGGTTTGGAATTTGAATTACTTTGGAAAAGGCGGTAGAGAATGTGAGGATTAAAGCGAAAATCTGAAGGGGAGAGAGAGGTTTAGAAGCCATTCTTAGAGTGAGAATTAGAAAAGATGTAACAATGGTGTAAGCTTAATGATGGTTTGGTTAAAATGAGAGGCGGGTATTTATGAACATGTTACACTGAGTATTGAATTGTGGAAAATCTTGCTTTGGATGTACTTACATTGATTAGAGACTCATATGGTATTATATCTTAATAGAAGATATGCTATAGTGCCAACATAAAATTTGTTACATCAATTTATTAAAAACATAAAAGAAAATATATCTAATCACGATGGGCAAAATCAGACCGGATTATTTGAATTTTTCAAGGTATCGATGTTGGCAGGGTAAAATTGATTGAGACATTTCTTTGACGTTGTTCGTTTTAGACTTTTTCATTGGCCATTGAAATTATATTTTCATTAGTAGCTCGTTGAGCTTTGAACCGTGTTTCTTGTCAACCGACTTAATTGAATTATTTGAGATTTGACAATGTACCTAGTGATGATGACGAAGCTTTGTAATATGTGTTTGGATGAGGTTCAAAACTTGATTGAGTTGCACTTTTAGTGTTTGACTGAAAAAAATAAAAAATAAACGAGAGCTCACAAGACGAATCGAATGGATTCTGCTCCGCTTACTAGTCGATTCACGTTGACGGGAAATGAGCATTGGGAAACTACTGTAGGGCACTTGGATGACCTCCAAGTTTAAACCTATAGAATGTTGTCCTTACGATTCGAGCTTGTTCGAAAAAAGTAACTCTCTAAAAAAAAAACTTAAATTGCAATTCAACTTGAGCATATGCGAGTGTTGTATGGAGTTTTGGTGGGAATGATTAGGTTCATGTTGATTACGGATATGTTGGAAGATAATCGAGTGATTTATATGCTCGAGTGTTCGAATGTTTATTTGAGTCACCTTATCTTTATATTTGTCTTTCCATTGTGCAAAATGACTACACTGCAACCCCAGAAGTCATTTTGATTTACAAATTCGTGAACTTTGATTGTTTCAAAGTATGAATAGTTAATAGACAAGTTTATGTTGAAATGATCACCGTCCATTTTGAGCGTCCCATTTTCATATTCATGTAAGAAACTAGTGAGGCGTATATATTATTTACCGTTCTAGTCAGTTTGTCTTCTCAAAGCTTTTATTCGAGTTGTAATTGAGGCATGCTTTATTGGTCATTGGAAGCCTCTTCAGCTAAGTTGATTAATTTGAGACTTGTCTTATTTGAAACTATTGTCCATGCTCGTTTGCTTGTTTTCTTTTCTGTTTGTTCGTGACGATCAAAGGTTTAAGTGTGAGGAAGTTGTTTGTCCCATTTTTGTTGCGTTTTTCCTTGTTATTTTTTTATTTCTTTTTCCCACATTTTAGGTCTTTTCATTCATTTTTGGTTTGTTTGTGTTTTGTTTCATATTTTCCTCCACATGGAGTTTTTCTGTGTTTTTCAGTCATTTTTTGGTTTTCCCATTTTTGTTTTCGTTTCTGTTGTACAGGTCAGGAGTTTTCGGGAGGATATATTTTCAAGGATGAATTGACCGTGTGAGCACAATTAATTAGAGGAGTTCGTTGGCGACAAGAAGGAAAAAATAGAATCGGATTCTGAGTCCAAATGAGCTCGAACGAACCCGAGTCTTGAAGTCGTGCACGGAAGCCAGCAGCCGCAGGTCGCCGCGCTAGACCCCGTTCGTGCACGGAAGCCAGCAGCCCTATGCCCGCGGAGCAGCTCACGCCGCGGCACTAGCAGACCTCAACGCTGCGGCTCTTCGCGCCCTCGCCCCCCAACAGAACACATACACTTTCACAGCGCTGCGCTCGCGCTACCCTGCACGCCACGGAGACCTGCTACCCAGCGCCATTGCCACGCCGCGACACGTCCTTCACGCTGTGGCAGACACTTCCTTCTCGCCGCGAAGCTCTTAACACGGCGCGACACGGACCTCCTTCAAGCCGCGGAGCTCTTGACACGACGTGACACCATGTAGGCTAGATATATGGGATCGGGATTGCGACTAACAGGCATCTCCCTTCTCCAGAAAACCCTACCCAGTTCGCCTCTTAAACTCGTTTCTTCATATTTTTCACCAAAAAACACAAATTAATCTAGCATTTCATTGGGATTTCTTCATTGCTTTTGGATTTAAGCTTGTTTATCAGATTCAACTTTTAGATTCTATCAATCGTAAGATTTTCTTTTCTTTTAATCCATGAATATGCTTGTCTTGATTGTTGAGATTGTTGATGTTGAATCGAATATGAGTGGCTAAATTCAATTGCTAGGGAATAGGGGATGATGTTTTGATTTTGTTTGTGATTATCGTGCTCGTCGATTGTCAATTTATACGAGTTGATCTTTAATAGGGTTTTCAATTATCGTACTTGAACTATTAGGATTGTTGAAAGGTGACACTTCAATTTCCAATTGATTTTCAATTGAGTTCGAATTACTCTCGTGTGATGTTGCTCATTCTTATTGATTAGTCGGTTAATCACTCTCTAGTCTAATTTAATCGACTCTTAGAACCGAAAGAGGAGGAGTCGATCGAAATAGGCTCGTATAAGATAGGCTTGTTCGTAACTGTATTGCCTATGTGCTAAAATGACTTGTTAATTTGTCGTTCACGTTTGTTCTATTTTTTTGAAAAGTTATTGAGGATGAGTATCTGAATGAGTAGGCTATTCAAATCATTTAACCGAACGATCACTTCCCGATAATTACATATCGAACCAAGATTGTTATCCCTGACTCTCTAGCTTCCTTATTCTCGTTGATTGATTGCTTTTACTCTATTTTCTGAATATGCGTTTTTTATCTTCGTAGTTGTTAATTAAAAATCAAACCCAATCTTGGAATTAGAATGTTTAGAAATTTTATTTCTCTTTTTGTGGTTGAATAAATGTGCATTATAATCCCGCTAACCTTACTCATGAGACCGACCCGGGAAACGAGTCTTTCGATTCGGTACTCGGTAAAAAAAATAATTTGCTACAACATTTTCCCTTTAGTACGTTTTCACAACGTCATTATTTCAACATGAAATATCATATAAAAGGTTCTGAACAACAAAGTATCTCGAGAAAATTTAACACGTATTCAAATGTGTACTTTAAGTATTAAATACCCTTTTCAAAGTATTCTAGTGCTCATGACTGGGGTTGCTCGTAAATCTACTCAATTTATTTACCGGGTAGACTAAGTCTGGTCGTGTAGGCTACCATATTTAAGTCAATATCAAGGGGTGTCTCAGATAGTGGACCGTTACAAGAATTAGATTTCTTGAGCACTTTCTCTACGTAATGAGATTGCGATAAGACAATTCCATCTTGAATTCTAATAATACTTATTCCAAGAATTACATCAGCTATACCAATATTTTTTATGTCGATATTTCTTTTCGTATCCGTGATCAGTCATAAACAATCTAGCATTTTCATAAATGACAAACAAAATTAATATAAATATTAATTTTTTTATAAAAATAGTGATAAATGATAATAGGATGATAATGTTATTTTAACGGATATTATTCTTCCGACACATTTCAATGGAAAATTTTATTTCATTTATTTACATAATTATTTCACTTTTCAACTCATTCCATTATATCATTTTATTCCTCTAACTCATTTCATTCTTATCAATATAAATTACATTATATCAATCATGATGTAACTATAACATAATAAAATGCAATCAACTTGTAAAGTTTCATTTTCACAATACAAATATCCCATTCATAGAACTATATTTTTTATTTTTAAAATGATAAAATGCAATGAATCCACGAGGTTATAGTACATGTCAAAAATAAAATTTCTATTAACCAAATCAAACCCAATATTGCTTCGACTCATCACATAATTTTTTGAATATCACGTTTAACATTTTGTATTCAAAATAAATAATGGAAATAGTAGCTTTTTTTAAATTAACATAACATAATGCTACAAATTTGTTAGATTAATATTATTTCTTAAAAAAAATCATATTTACTATATCGAACCTATGCCGGAGTCAGATTTACTCAATTATTATTATAATTTTTTATTTAAAAAAATTAATCGAATCACAATCTATTAATATATAATAAGGATTAACATAATTCACTTTTAGAAACACTTTCCCGCCAATTTCATTAATTATTGCCTAAAAATAATAAATTAATAAAAATCAATGTAATTAATGTACATAATCTTTTTAGTCAAATATTTATTGTTATTAACTTTATTAGTTGGATTTAAATTTAGGATGATTTAGTTTTATGGAAACAAATATGAGGGTATTATAGAAACTTTCCAAATCCTTAGTTTAAATATATAGACTTGATTGAGCAATTATAGAGAATTAATCGTTAATCTTTATATCTATATTATATTTCATGTATTGAGTAAAACATAATAAATTAATATTTATGTTATTTTTCATACATCTTTTTGTTGGCATAGTAGAGTTGCAACATTATCTTTTTCTTCGTAGACAAAATAACTAAATACAAAAATATAAATAATATTTATGTGGCGCTAAAAAGTATTTTGGACTAAATGTAGAAATGACTTTTAGAAATTACTTAATTAATTTATGGTATAAAGTTGACAAAATTAATAAATCCAATTTTGGTATAAAGTTGATAATTTTATTTTAAGTATCTGATAGTCATTTTTATCTTTTCGTAGAAAATATGTTGTTAATAATAAATTTGCGATTTTGTGGTATAAAGTGGGTGATTTATTTTTTGTACGAAATGTTCGAATTTAAATAGTATGAATTTTATTTGGAATGGATAGAAGTATATTTGAACCACATAAATGTTGTCACATAAGATAATGGCATTTACAATGCATAAATGTTGTTATCACATAAATTTTGACAAATGTCAATTGTTTATATGGATAGTGAACCACATAAGATATTTCTTAAGTTCACAACTTTAAATCTAAAAAATTATTTTTGTGCACAATGTGATCAAACATAATATTGTCAATTGGCAAAAATAAAAATAAAATACAAATAAGAAACAAAAAAAATTAATAATTAGATATTTTGAAGATAGTAATAATATTTCTCTCTCATCTCTCAATTGGTTGATTAGAATGTAAAACGAAATGTGGATAAACCACATTCTTATAAAATCAAGGTGATGTGATTCTTAAAATTTAGCATATTCGCATAATAATATGCCACAATATATTGATGATAATTCGACAAATTGATATATTCCTCTAGAAAATTATAATGATCTTTGAACAAACATTGGTTAATAAAATTTAAAATTAGTAATTTAATTCTACAGATTAATTGATAATTTTGAACAATAAGGTAACTGACAACAAATCTAAAAAATGCGAGATATATATATATATATAATACATATATATATATATATTATACATGAAATATATAAAAAAGTTTATCTGTGTAGTCCAAATTTAGGTTCTAAATTTAAAGATCAAATAAGTAGTTATTCATAACTTATGCTAATATTAACTTGGATATAAATGAATTATTCAATTATTTATAGTTTAATTTGTAACAAAAAAATTATTTATAGTTTAATAAATTATTCAACTACTTAAATTTTTTGATTTGGACAGGTCATACGAAAATAAATTCATTTTAGTTAATGAAATAATATAAGATTTATAATTATACGTAATATTCACATAGATTTTTAAATATATGATAAAATTTTACCAAAATATTTATTTTATTGAATCACATTGTAGTCAAATCGAAATTTTGAATAAAACTTTTTAAAATAACATTATTTTGAAATAAATATAATATAATTTATTATTAGTTACGTGCAATGTATGGGTTGTGTACTAATTTTAAATATACATATTTTATGTAATTTTGTACAATTCAAATTATGTATAACATTTTTAAAAATTAATATAGGTAAACTGTATTACATATTAATTCAATATTCTTAATTTATAAAATATTATTTAATGCATATTTTTTATTTATAAATACTAATAAATATTTCTTACCCGTGCATCGCACGGGATTCGTACTAGTTTTACAAAATCTACGACTCTCATGAGAGTGTAATTTACTCAATTTTAAATAATTTTTTTTTTTAAAGAAAAAACAAGAACGAAATTAAAAGCCAAATTAGGAAGTTTTGAAACAATATTACACCCAAGGACAAAAGTGAAAATTTTCATCATCCTCATTCCTCACGTATCAAAAGATAGGAAGATTGCAACAGTCCCGTTACGAAACATTCCGCTGGGATTTTTAACCGTTAGATAAACTATCTCTGACGGTTACATAATGATCTAACGGTTGCAAAACCCGACGAGATGGTTTCTGTAACGGGACCTTTCTCATTTCCATATTAAATTTGAGCCCCTTTCTCCACAGCATCTGCCCTGATTATGTTCACACAGTATCCACATTATTATTATGGTAATTGTTATTGATTACCATAATCCCATACCCCAAACTGTGAAATTTATTTTTTCTAATCCTTTCGCTATTATTTATTTAGTAATTCAATATATCAGTCGGTACTCTTTAACTTCTCATTTCCCAATTTCGCCACAAGTTTCCATATCTTTCATCTTCCCACACTCTCTCGACTAATCAGGTGAGTTTCCATTTTGCTTTTGTGTTTTTTGTTTTCTTTCCTTTTGTTCGAGTCATTTTAGTTTTTGTTATGTCGAAAATGCTACGATTTCGTTACGGAACTATCCCATCAAAATTTGTAACCGTTAAATCAATTATTTCTGACGGTTATAGATCCCGACGAAATGTTTTCGTAACGAGACCTTAGCATTTCTCTATCTCTTATCTTATATGCTTTGATTTTCGTGTTCAAAAAATATTTTGGTCGAAGAGTTATTCTTTTTTTTTTTTGGTTTTTTTTTTAAG